ATTTGTTGCATATTTGTGACAGTGGGCGTTAAGGGGTTAATTTTAATCACATTTTAAATTAGATTCATTACACAGATATACCACCTCGATAGCCTTGAGGTGCTTGGCAATTGAATCTATTTAGACACAAGCTGTTATTGCTATATATAATGTATTTACTTATGTGATTAGAGGAACAGAAGATTACACCCCGTCATCCAACGACGATAAGGTGGATTTACTTCTTGGCATGTTCTTGGTGATGTTTTTTTTTATTCCTGTGGGTGATAATGAACAAAGCATACAGTTGATCATGAGCCTGTCGTTTTAATGGGAGATCAGGGAGTCTTTGCTTTGCCTACAGCTCACACGTGTTATATTAAAGTCTGAATACATTCTCCAGCATTACTGCACTTTTATGGCCCAAAATATATTTTTGTAGCGCGAAGATGACACTGCAGTCAACAAGAAGCAACAGTGCGTGGAATAGGATAGATATTGCAAATAAAACCTTTTCAGTGCCGATGTAAGGAGCCTCGAGGTAAGGACATGGTGGTTTGTGATTTCAAAAATAATTCACAGGCTAAAATAAATACTTTTATTAAAGTTTTAAAAAACATTTGAAGAAAGAAGTTTGGCCAGTCACTGCTGGGACAAAGTTCAGAATTTACAACTTACAAATTTACAACTAACAAATTCAGACCAAAAATTGTAAAACTCACATGTAGATGACCATTCAAGTTTTTTTTTATTACATTATCAGTCACTTAATATTCAGGTGTCTTTGTTTATTACTATTTATTCATATTTTTGTCCTATAAATATTTTGGAAAACTTCAACATAAATAACTAAAAAAATTAACATCAACTTGCAAGGTCATTATAAAATATTAAAGGCAAAATTTACTGTTGTGAGTTTTAAGTCATGTTATAATTACATACCTGGAGTTGTGTTTTGTTTCATTCGCAAATGGTTGAATAATCCTTTATTATTAGTCTGTCTACTTCTCTAAAGCTCAAAAGCTCTATTCCACCTTGTGATATCATCAAGTGGTAGTTTTCAGTTTTCAGCTCCTTTTACCTTTTGTTCAAAAAAGATTGGCAATTCTCTGAAATGATCCAAATGACTCTACTGAAGGTGTATGGAGTTTAAAAACACAGTGGAGCACTTCCAGTATTACCACATGACATCACAAGGTGGAACTGAGTGTTTTCTGTTTGAGAGAAGAACTCAGTCTAAATATGCAGGGTTTGTGTGATGCAACAAAATATAACTTCAGGTATGTTTTTGATGAGAAAAATATAATAACAGATCAGAAAGCAGAGTAATATGTGCCCTTTTAACATTATTATTTAATTATCTCCAAGCACTATCCAAAAACAAGGTGACACAAAATACCTCTGCCTACATTCAGAATAGAAACAGTTTTATAAGCATATTTATTTCCCATTGTGACGTTTCCATAGCAACATAGCGAAAGTCAACAAAATGAAACCCAAATGCATTACTGTGCGCAAAACCATTTCCATTTTGGCACAAGATGGTTATGGTTGTCAAACTAAAACTGAAAACAAGAAAAAACATCTCAATCTCAGTGGGGTCTTTTTGGTTACATAAATAAATTGAAGCGGCCAACATTTAAGAAGATAAATCCAACCAGAACCAGCATAAGCCTACATAGTGACAATATTAAAAACACAAAAAAATCTTATAATTACTGTGGGATTATATTACCAGCTGTTCATGTGCACTTATAATGCATGAAACCACTTGGAAAATACCCTCTTTTCCACTGACAAGGATCCAACACAAACAGAAGCCCTTCAAAGTAAAATTCTCCTTATCTCACGGCCTCCTGATCCTGCCTCTTCACAGATGTTTAGGCTGACCAAAGCAGACAGAAGGAGGGACTGCATGAATACTGTATAAGGTACAGATGCAGCAAAATGCACTCTACGATCTGTGCAAGTGAAACTAACCCTCCTATTCTTCAGTAGGCTAAACTAGACTAAAATAGGTGCTGCTATAAATTCAGAATTGGAAGATATCATTAGGTCTGTCATGATAATTATACTGACCAATATATGAACAATATATTTTGGGGTCCAGTATTTATTGTGTGTACATTTTCTGTGCAGTAATGGTGAGATTTTTGTTATTTTAGTTGTAATACCATAAGATTTGAGTAGTAGAGGGCTGAATAAGTAGCCTGATTCATCAGCCAGTTTCACTTTGTGCATTAGGATTCGTTCACTGGTCTCTAGGTATTTTTTTATTTTACCAATCGTTGCTATTTGGTCGTAAGGTATGTAATGTGTCACTAATGGGGCTAACTGGTATATTAAGCTTTTCCCAAATCCCATAGGAAGAAGGGCAATAACGTCTTTCTCCTTTCACCAAACATTCTCTTTGTTCCGGCTTTAAATCCTCAATCTCAGGAATTGTTGTCAACACAGAATGTATGGCTTTGTCTACATCTATCTCGACCGCTATGCTTGCTGTTGTGCTGTACCACAAAAGGGACTCAGGTGCTTGAGTTTGACATCATGGCTTCACAGCTCTTCATTGATTGGCCAGGGCACGGACTACAACTTCCAGGGTTCTTGCAAACCGTCGTGGTGGCACCAGCCTGGCTACTGAATAAGTAACTTTTATGGCTTCATTATGATAATCATTTGTTGTAGCTCAGGCCTTTAAATGATACGGTCTATTTAAAAATGGTTAACTAGGATTATCCTGTTTTATTGTTATAATATTACTGTTTATCGTGTTATTTCTCTTTAGCAATATATTGTGCTTCAAAATTTGTTATCGTGACAGGCCTAGATATCATGAAATGTCACACTGTAAAGAATATTGCATTTTAGTAAAATTGTCATCATACTCTTATAACAGACTAGTCACAAATAACAAAGATAAGATTAGTCAATATCAAGAACAGGACAAATGACTGCATCAGGAATTCAAAAACTGATAACAAAAAGCTTTTGTCTCACTGACAGAACTGAATCTTTTTTGCTATGGATCACACTTGGACGACTGAGGGATTACACAGACTAGCATTTATAACTGAAAACTAAGACTTTTAGAAGCAAAGATATGTAATTTCAATTCAATCTAAAGAATGCTACAAAAAGATATGCCTACATGTCAAGTGCTTTTTTAGCTGGTTGTCACATAAATATTACTCTATCATTCAGGTTGCTCACATAGGAATGGATACCAGTGAGAAATAAATTAAATGAGTGAATAAATTAATAAATTTAAGGTTTTTTTTTATTGTTGTTTGGTTATAGTGTCAATAATTGTGAATTATTGAAAAATGTTTACATTTATTCTCATAGTAATCTTGACATTAAAATTTGATATTGAGACATCCTAATTCTAAACAAAGAATAATTGATCTGTCTCCAAGGGATAAATGGAAAATGTATACCAAAACAATGTAATCTAAAGTAAATTTTTGAAAAAACACTGCAAGGGTCTAATAATTAGCCTACACGACCCCTACACGACCTACGTCCGCGTCTGTGAAACAGAGCTTTGTATGTGTCAATAGTGAAGTCTGGCACCACATTGATCTATAACTTGACACATTCTTTCCTCAAGTTAAACAATCGATCAATAAACAGTTCAAACAAGAGCCATCAGCAAAAAACACAATTACGTGGATTTACCAGAGAAGACAGAAACTCAAACTATATGACGTACAGACTCTAATCAGTTCAAGGATACTGAGATGAGTGAGACGAAACTCTGTGTCAGTAAAAAGATCAGATAATTCAAAGCTATAGCCAACTACATGTGACTATGGGAAGGTTTAAATTGGTGAATTACAACTTATTATGCGTGGGGAAGTAAGCTAAACGTGCACTATATAACTTTTTGGTTGGGGTTTTGTTGCTCTGCCTAGAATGTTCCACAGTATGACTTTAAAAAGCCTTGCATTTATTCAATTACAGGTGGTTTTACTGCTCAAAACTACTGAGAAAAACAGGCATTCTGACTGCGAACACAGTTGTCTCTCCACAGATTTGACTTGTAACTTGGTTTAGTTTAGTCTCCATGAAGATAGAAAGGTTTAATGCCATACTGTGAAACATTCCAGGCAAAGCAATAACATCTTCATATCGTCATATCAAATTATGAAAAGACTAAATATCTAATATTTTGCCTAACATAAACATGTGGCTATGGGGAGGTTTAAATTGGTGAATTATGACGTATCATGTGTGGGGAAACAAGTTAAAGGTGCACTTTGTAACTTTTTATGTCCCTGCTCTGCCTGGAATGTTCCACAGTATGACTTTGTAACTAGGGCTGGCCAATACGTTGATAAAAATTGAATCATGACACAATCTTTATGCTGTTTTTGTGATATTATCAGATCGTGTTCTTTAATGCAGCTCTATGATCAAACACAGATGCTTTTCCCACCCACTCCTGTTATTGGTCAACCTCCCTAGAGCTCTGAGTGAGTGACAGGCTGAACTAACCAATCATAATGAAGTACAAACAACAACACAAAGAAACATAAATAATGCTAAAAATCTAAATCGCTATCCACTTGTAATGCTAATATTTATGGTTATAATCCATTATTGCGTTAATACTGATGTATTTTGAAGTTTGTATACTAGCCCCCACTTTCCTGGTGACGTCACACGTGGGGCAGAAGAAGTGCAACGTGGACGGGGCAAAAAAAAAAAAAAAAAAAAATCACAACATCAACACTGACAGCTGACATCATTACGCGACAATAATTTCTTCTGGATCACGTTATAAATTTATCATCAGTACTTGACTTTTGCTAAGACGCTGGAATACCACATCCATCACTATGAAATAAAGATTTGTCAGCATAATTTCGCAACTTTAATCACTTTCCAGCGACATCTGAGTGCCATAAAGCTGACACAAGGCAACGATTCCTGTTGTTTAAAGTTTATAACACGACATAAGCGCTGACAAGTCAAAATCTGCGCAAAAACCTCGTGCATTATAAAGTAAGGACACGTACCTGTTTTGCCAGCCTTGGATCAGGTTCGTATATTTGCTGAGCACCCCCTCCAGCTGCCTTTTGCGTGTCTGCTGCTGCTGCTGCTGCTGCTGAGGCTGTTGTGATTGTGGATTCATGCTGTTCCCGAGCAGGGCATTGGTGCTGCCGCAAGAAGAGGGTCCCCGGTTGTTCGCTCCTGTCCCGGGCTTTCTTATGGACGAGTTCCCGCGGTCGGATGCAGGCGCAGCGGAGGAGGTCTTATCGTGGAGCGGGCTGTTACTACTACACACCGTCTTGTCCATGCTGATAACGGGACGGTGGAGAAGAAGGAGGTAGAAGGCAAAAAAAAAAAAGAGAGGGGACTGGAGCAGGAAGATTTCAGAAAAGCATAATAAGTGTGAGTGAAAAGGTACGGCAAGTGTCCGTGGAGTTGAGATCGGGTGCAGATGGAGAGCGTGACCGAGCTGACATATCCGATCACGGTGGTGGTGGAGGTGGTGGTGGAGATGGTGGAGCTGTCCCGTTGCACTCTTTCCCCTCCGCAGTGCTCGTCCTGTGCGGGCACTACAGCGTCTTCTCTTGCCTTTTCCTGGTAGGATCACAGCGAGGGGAGAGAGCAGCGGAGAAACACGCCCCCCTGCGCCCTAGTCACGCCCCTGCCTGCATATGTCACGAGTCTGCTTTGGAAAATTAAAAACAGACCAATATCCCACTAAAATTTAAAAAATAATCTACCCTTATTCTCAACGAGATTATTTAGATTTTGGACATTGCACGATGTAATAAAAGGGTAAATGATTGATGACTGAGGTTGATACATTGACCTATAAATGTGCTCGAGGGCCTGATAAGAGCACACATGAGAGGCCAGCACAGTTATGCATAGTTTAAAGGGCCTATATTACGCAAAAATGGCTCAGGTGAGCTTTAAGCCATGTTAAAATGCTGTTACTTCCTCAAAATCATACCGGGAGTTGTGTTTTGTTTCATTCACATATGTTTGAGTAACTCTTTATTATTAGTCTGTCTACATCTCCAAATCTCAAAATGTTCTGCTCCACCTTGCGATGTCATGAAGTGGTAGTTTTGAAATTAACAGCTACTTTTTAGTCGACTGATTCATCACCCGGTTTCACTTTGTGGAAACCGTTTGACCTCACAGGATTTGTTCACTCGACGGTAGGCGGGTACTTTTTTTATTTAACCAATCGCTGCTATTTGGTCATGACGTATGTAATGCGCTGCTAACGGGGCAAACTGGTATATTAAGCTTTTCCCAAATCCCATAGGAAGAAGTACAAAAACGTCTTGATAAAATTCACCAAACATTCTCTTTGTTCCGGCTTTAAATCCTCTATCTCGGAAATCGTTGCCAACACAGAATGTATGGCTTCGTCTACATCCATCTTGACCCCTTTGTTTACTGTTGTGCTGTACCACAAAAGAGACCCAAACAGGTGCTTGAGTTTGACATCATGGCTTCACTGATTGGTGGGTGCGTAGGTCTACAACTTCCGGGGTTCTTGCAAACCGTCTAGTGTATTCTGATTCCTGACCTAGTCGCTGGAGAGAAATGAAATTAAGCAGAGGCACTAGGTGGCGTTGGCTAACTTTTTAGTAGATATGGGCCATTCCAGGGCTGAAAATATCTAAATGATTTTAGTGAAGGTATATGGAGTTTAAAAACACAGTGAAGCACTTCCTGTATTACCACATGACATCATGCTGAGTAGTGTTTTCTGTTTGAAAGAAGAACTCAGCCAGGATTGTGCACAGTGAATGGGTGTGAATGAAACAAAACACTTCTCCAAGTGATGTTTTTGATGAGGAAACAACACTTTAACATAGATCAGGAAATAGAGAAACATGGGCCGTTTTGTTAATCAGTTATACAATATTTGCTCACAGCTTGTAGAACTAAATCATTAAATATTTAGACAAATTTAGTGATATGCAAGTAGGCTATATTTTTGACAAAGATTAACTGTACTCACATGAAGTATTTCAAACATTATTTTGAGCTATATCTTTTTGTGCAGTGGTGTAACTCTATTCAACATTTCCTCTGTATTTTACATCTCACTCTTATGTAACTTGAGTCAACCTGCTGAAGTGGGTTTTTGATTTAGTAATAACATTAGGAAAACTGATTTCCCAGTAAGAAATAGCACAAAGAACAAGAATGTAACCTTATGCTTGGAAGCGAGAGACAACATTAGATGCAATAGAAATTACAGGAAAAGTCTGATTTGTTAACACAAAGAAACTGAAGTTTTAATAATGCTGAGGTTTGTAGTTAGTTCACTGTGGAATGTGTGGAATGCATCAGCTGATTTTGGCCCAGTTTGGATGTTAGAAAAGCAATTGGACTATTGAAAATAATGATTTAATATTTAGAGATTTTGATGGATGATGAAGGATTACATTCATACACTCTGTTGTTATGACACTCCAGATTATTTCCTATGCTATAATTTATGTTTAAACAAATATATGATATGGCAATAACTTCAGCATGAAAATGAGTAACAGAGTTGAAATGTAAAAGATCATAATTTGCAAATCACAAATGCTGGATTTATATATGCACTATAATTTTCTTACTAAACTATGGGGCAAGATTTGTCTCATAAAGAAAAAAATAAACAAAATATTCTGACACTGGGACAGATTTTTTTTTTTTATCAACACAGTGGATACTTGCGCAGGTTGAGTAGCGCCACTGTCTTTGCGGTTATCATGAAATTGCAATTCTAGTGATGTTGTCTGTGCACTAAAACAGTTTATCACAAATCATTTATGCTGCTAAATAAACATTAGTGAATGGGATAAGTTTTAATAACCCATATGTGTTGACGTTTGTTGGATTTATATATTACATATTTTTATATTTCAGTCAATACAGAGCATTATGTGAACCACCACTGCCCCAAAAGACTGTGCATACATTTAAACAACATTAAGCAAAACCCCATTTAGCCAAACAGCTCTTGAACATCCTCTGTGGCTCTTGTATTGATTGGTCGCCATATTTTAAGACTATCCTGAGAGAGATTACTTGTGCTCTTCTCTGAATTATTAACAGATGTTAGACAAATCCCATGTTATCGATAGGCTGCTCACATAGAAAAAAGGCCCTGTGCCTGATTTCTTTACATGTATCTGAACAAAACTAGTCTTGCCCCAGTACAGATATATTGTCTAAGCAGCACTTGATGTTAAATACAGTATATCCTCTCTGTGTGCTGTCTGTATCTGATTAGAAAACATTTTGTTGTCTGATAATCAGGAAGTGTGCCTTAGCATTCTGTTTGCACTGGTCTCTGATAGTTCTGTGCATCATGGTAAAAAATAACCATGTTTGGAATGCATAAGATAAGTGAGGTTTAACTTTGGACCACTGCAAAGTGTTTAAAATTAAGTAGTTCTGTTTTTCACATTTTTGAGACAGAAAAAATCAGGTACAGCCAGTGTTGGGGAGTAACAGATTACATGTACCGGAGTTACATAATCAGAGTACAAATTATGAGTAACTGTATTCAGTTACAGTTACTGTTTGAATGAGTGGTAATTGGATTACAGTTACTTTGTTGAAATAAATGGATTACAGGGCGGTATTTTCCCGTTTTCACATTTTGGGCTAAACCAGGACTAAATAAGGACTAAAACCAGGTCTAAACCAGGTCTAAAACCAGGTCTAAACTAGATCTAAACCAGGTCTAAACCAGGTCTAAACTAGATCTAAACCAGGTGTAAACCAAGACTAAAACCAGGTCTAAACCAGGTCTAAAACCAGGTCTAAACTAGATCTAAAACCAGGTATAAACTAGATCTAAAACCAGGTCTAAACTAGATCTAAACCAGGTCTAAACCAAGACTAAAACCAGGTCTAAACCAAAACTAAACCAAAACTAAACCAAGACTAAACCAAGACTAAACCAGGACTAAAACCAGGTTTAAACTAGATCTAAACTGGATCTAAACCAGGTCTAAACCAGGATTTAACAGGACTAAACCATACTGTGTGGACCTTGTCTCCTCGTCTTCTATCAATAATATTTTTAATTTGGTTAAGTAAAGACTGGGCTTTTTATTTTCTTTTAGCAGATAAAACATCTTATGTGAAGATTTCCTAGTCTGTACTTCTCTACAGCAAATCAAGTAATCCAAAGTATTCAGATTACATTACTCACTTTAAGTAATTTAATGGATTACGTTACAAACTACATTTTGGGGTACGTAATCTGTAATCTGTAGGGGAATACATTTTAAAAGTAATCTTCCCAACACTGGGTACAGCACCTTTAAAGGGGCTATATTAGACTATTTTCTGATCTGTTATAATGCTGTTTCCTCATTACAAAGATACCTGGAATTGTGTTTTATTTCAATCACACATGTTTAAAACACATCCCAGCATATTCATATATCATATGAGTTCTTCTCTCCAACAACAGAAAAACACTCTGTTGAACCTTGTGATGTCATGTGGGAATATAACGCCTGTGTTGCTCCATTGTGTTTTTAAACTCCATACACTTTCACTAGAATCAGTTGGATAATTTCAGCCCTGAAACTGACCATCTCTACTGAACTAAAGAGAAAGGGTAGTTGTTAAAGGGACAGTCTGGAATTTTGGACATAGGACCTAATTTCCTAGTGAGCCAGAGTGTTGGAGGTAAAACTAACCTTGCATCGAATGAATTGTCTCATGTTGAGGGAAAATTTTTTCAGCAGCAGCGGAATTTTACTTTGCCGGTGAGATAGGTGCTAGGTGATCCGCCACTGCCAAGCTTTCTATCAAAAAGTACAAATCGCTACTGCTGCTCAGACATAAATCCTTCAAATGCAAGGTTGATTTTACTTCAATCAACACAGACATTTACATCGACAGTCTGGTGTAATAATAAATTTGCTTCGAGTGCTTTGCGGAGTAGGTAAGACTGTTTTAGTGACAGGCTAACTATGGCTATTGACATGCACTAGCCTAGCACCAGCGACCTCTGCAAATGCAAGGACTGGATGGAATATTTTAAAAAGTGTCTCCACACAACTCCAACACTCTGGCTCACTAGAAAATGAGGTCTTATGTCCAAAATTCCAGATTGTCCCTTTCACTTTAAAACTACTGCTTCATATCAAAAGGTGGAACAGAGCATTTTGAGCTTTGGAGATGTAGGCCGACTAATAATAAAGGATTACTCATGCATATGTGCATGTATTAATGAAACAAAAGTCCAGGTATTGTTTTGATGAGGTAAAAACGTTCTAACATGGCTTGAAGCTCACAAGAGTCACTTTGCGTAATATAGATCCTTTAAACAGATTATTAAGACACACCTAGAATTATTCCTAAGTAACTTCCATGTTATTAGGCACGGATCTACCCACACACCACAGTGACAAGCAGATAAAAAGCTCCCATTAACAAGGATTGCAGTGTATTAGAAAGCCAGTGATTGGACGAAGCAATTGAAGACATGCCTCCATAAATTTTCAGAGGACACTTAACTGAACAGGGATAGATTCAGAGGCTCCCACAAAGCACCAATCAATAAAACCGACATGAGGAGAAGAAGAACAACATATCTGGTCAATGGAGGAAAAGTGGTTTGTGAAAGCTGGAGTCAAACCTGGGTCAGCTGCATTTCATTATCAGAGGGACTGTAGCCATTGTAGTTAATTATTGATATTACGTGCCTATAGGCTACACTTTTCCCATGTTAGAATATAATAATGAATAGTCAAATAGTGGTCTTTTTTCACCAAAACATGTAATTCAGTGTAACAAATTGTACATTTTGCTGTATAAACATAGCTCTGTTCAAAGAATAAAGGCAAAAAAGTAGATTTTTACTGCAAGAAATATATAATATTAGGAATGTAACA